AAGCCATTAGATTTTGGACTGAAGGAAAAAAAAGTCTGTAAAATCTACTGCAGTATCCACTGTATTCAATAACTTTTTGCTGAGATACTACCTTCATTTTCATCTTTCTTCCATCCTCTGAGTATAACAGGACATGGTGTCCTGACACAGGCTTTAACACAGAGCCTCATGACCCCAGTGGTTCACCCTCATCTCCCACTCCCTGCTACCACCAACCATTAATTCTTGCTATTGTATATATATGAGATTAACATCCTTTCAGGTAAAGCAAACCCTTCATTTACCTGCTGATCCTTCCTGGCTCTGCATTTTTAAGCTCAGAATAAAACTATGTTCCCCAAAATGAGATGTTGTGCTCCCATGTTCCCCATTTCTCCACATTTCCTTTGTCTGCAAACTGAACCAGAACCACCTGCAGGGCTTTGCTAGAACTCATTTTATTCTGTCATTTCAGATATTTATTAAATCCCAGCAGCTGTATTCATATTATGCTATAATTCCACTGCTCAAATTTAGGAAAAAAAAATAGTTGGGGAAATATAAAAATGAAGCTTTAAAAAGTAGCTTTTAGTTGGCTGCAGTATAGTTGAAGTATGTTTTCCAATAATTGTTGACCATGTAAAAACAATACAATATATCAACATACTCATTTTATAAGAAAAAGAGAAGACAGAAGACTTTGTATATGTTTTTTGCAGCCAAGACACTGTTTCTGAAGGAATTTTAATTTTTGCACCCTTTGAATTTTTAATTATTTCCTATGCAGATTTTGTGGTTTTGCATTTAATTTCCTGTTATTTGTCTCTCTATCTCCCTCTCTCTTTATATATATATAAAATTCAAATCCTCAAATCAAATTACTCCATATACATATACACATATATATATACACTCCATATTTATAAATATGGAGTAATTTGATTTGAGTAAATTATTGATTCTTTGGACATTAACTCCTTAGTTAAGTGGTATTTTTATAATGACTATTTTCCAAAGCACCCTTTCCTTACTTACCTCTTCTAGATGCTTCCTTTAGATATTGCCAGCAAAATAGAAAATATTTTCTTGTAATCTTTTTTTTTAATTTGTATTCTGCCACTGTCCTTCATAGCGTCAGAATTCAAACTTAGAGAACTTTTCTAAGGTTTCTGTGCTTTTTTCATGTTCTACAATTCTTCCCAAAGTGAGTATTTATGTGTCTCCTTGCTGACAATTCTTGGTTCCTAAAGAAACAAAGAAAATATTTTGCTCAGGGAAATTTTCTTCTACTTCCTATCAAAGGGCAAAATCCAATGGCCACCAACACTGGTGAGATGTCGTTTACTTCAAAAAGGGTGCTGTCCAGTGAGCAGTGTCTCTGCCCGTTCTGAAAATTTCTGTCCTGGCAGAATAAGGAATCCTTTCACTCCACATTGCTAGTGCTTCTACATTGGATAAATCCCCACATCTACCATGCAAATCTGTTTCTTCATGCTTTCCCAAAATGTAATACAAGTGAGAAAGCAGTCCCCCTGACAGCTACTTATAAGCACAGAGAAGCAGTTCTCTCAGTGACATTTTAACCACTTTCAGCACTGGGAAAGCACAGTGGGGAGGTAGCAGTTGACACCATTTTTATAGAGTCAAGGTACCTATACCCCCACCAAGGGTATTAATGACTGTATTCTTGTGTATTAAAATAACAACAAAAACTATCAGATCAAATGATGAAGGTAAACATGAAGCTAATCAGGAAGGAGATTTAGGAGTTACCATATAATTCCCCCAAAGCCCCGAGCCTAATTAGTGAGGAATATAAACCAGTTGACAGACTGCACAGCTAGAAAAACATAAAACAAAGAAGGTTATAATATTTATTATAACTGTATAAGGCAGTGATTAGACCCCCAACCTATGTACAGATCTAATCACCATTCCCTGGAAGGGATAATAGACAGCCCTGTGAGTCAGGTTTGACAAATTAATCCAAGCCTTATCCAAATAAAGAGATTTGTAGTTTTCAATGAAAAATTAACTCCCTTGACTGGGAAGCGGGGACGTCACTGCATGCACTAATAGCATTGTACTGAGAGACAGTGCTACACCATGTCTGTGCTCAAAGGTCTGTCAAATAGCACGTGGGGACTTGTTCAGCATTGCAGCAAGGGCAATGAATTGATGCCAAAATTTGTGTATTTTTAAAGTGTTAGTCATCCTAGGACATAAAGCCTAGTACCGAGATATTGACAGTAGCCTATAAAGGTTGATGAAGGTGGTCATTCTCTAACTCTTGGCCTTCTTGAAAGACATCCATATATCTCAGACAGGTTCAGGTGAGGAAGTTCCTTGTGTTGAGCATGCACAGTGTAGACAAAATGAAAAAAGTACTAAACAGATTTAATTAAATATTTATGCTATAGTGTGGCAATCTGATAGCAAGCACAAAAGAAGCAACATGACTAGTAGGTGAGACATCATACGGACACCCATGTTTTTTCCATTAAAAAAAAAAAAAGACTGTACAGAGCTTACAGAGCTCAGGGATCTCAGGGAGCATCTAAAAATGCTGGAACAAAAATTAAAATAAAATAAAATAAAATAAAATAAAATAAAATAAAATAAAATAAAATAAAATAAAATAAAATAAAATAAAATAAAATTGGAGCAAAGGATATAATCTGTGGTGAAAGGATAGGCCTGATTTGTTTTTTCCATGTGATGAGTGAGCTTTTCTTCTTTGTCTTCTATTAGAGCTCCAAGGATTTCAGATTCTTTGATATATTTGAAGAAATGGCATGGCCATGGCCAGCATGGCATCTTCTCCCTGAACATTAACAAATGTTCTTTATATAGGCTCTTTTTATAAATATGTTCTTTTTACAGGCTTTACTTTACTTACATGAACAGTATAAAAACTACATGCTGACAGACCAACTAAACACAATTTTTGCCACAGTGCTTTTAGGAATGTATACAGGGAGACTGAGGCTATGAAGCTAAGTAGCTTGCAGAAGTCAGTTCCTACTTTTTGTGTTTCAGGGCGCCTGAAATGAAAGCCTTTGTGTGGGGTCAGACAGGTAAGCACTTGTGTGATTGCAGGGCAAGTTAGGTTTTGCAGAACTACTTTCTCAGCAGTTAGCAACCTAAGAGAGTTGAGGTAGTTATGAGGAACAGGAGGGGACAGAGGTAAGTCTGACATCCTGCCCACCCCCTGCCCTTGGCACGTGGTTCTGTGCTGCCAGGAGACACTCCCTACTTTACTGGATTTTCTCAAATTCACATTCTAGAAGCACTCAGGAAGGAACAATCTCTCTTCTCAGCAAGAGCAGTTTTCTGGCTAGAAAGTGGAAAACTTCAGTTCATTTTTCAGCTGTCTACAGAAAGGATAAATATTCATCATCCCACCCTATGTCACAATGTCCCAACCATTAAGACTAGCAGATTTCCCTCAGTAAAAGTAGTGGAGATGTTGCCCCTGGAGTGAAGCTCTAGCTCTGAAGAAATATTTTTTGTGAAATATACAGGTGCCCTTGGGATTAGGAAGCACTGTCACAATATTTGACTTCAACATTTAACTTAGAAATTAGGCCAGACTTGAATACTTTGGGTGGGAATTTAATGCAATTTTCTACCTACAGATAATCTTTCCTTCCCAAAGTGTGCAGAATCCAGTGCAATCTTCCTTTCAATTTTCAATCTGAACAATTTTTGCAATTTTGGCCAAAGAGCAGAGCTTTTCAAGGGATCCTTTCTCACCCTTCTCCTGAGATTAAAGCATTTACTAAAGCAATGTGGTGTGTTTACCATTCTTTGTGCTTGTATCTGAATGATTTAGAGAAGCAAGACTATGTTATTGTCCAGCTGTCTTTTGGACAGCTGGGCTTTACTACAGTACAGACAAATAGCTGAATAGAATACAGGCTTTTATGATACCTTGAACATGATATTCAGAGAAGAGAAATTACAAATAGTATCTTCTTTTACACCAACAGCGAAGTGTTTAGCTGAAACTCGTATGTGATGGAACCAGATAACTAACAGTAAGTCCTTAAGATAAGTGCCCAAAATGCTATTGTGCTGGTGCTATACAAAGATTATATGTAGTGATAACCAGATACAGACACTAAGGAAAATAAGTTCTCATAAAACACTTTCTGAGACTAGTAAATAAATAAAAATACAGAACAAGTATTAAGATAAAAGTGAGGAGGATTTAAAGGTAGTTTATTCCCAGGAAGAGTCTGTCTTCTGAATCTAAATGATTCTCCCAAGCTATGGTTAAGGAAAAGTTATCAGGAAAAACATCGTTGGAGCACTAAGGCTTCTGGTCAGGGCATTGGTGCTTTCAGGATGTGCTCCGATAAATATGAAGTGTTTCCTAACTGTTTTATTCATAGGCTGTCTAAATAGGGCTGCCCTTGGTGCTCCGAACTAAACAAACCTTAGTGTGTTATTCACAGTCCTGCTAAAGAATGATGCTAAATGAATAAACACAGCCTTGTTTAACAGAAGATACCACTGTGATTACTTTACCTGCTTTCCTTCCTGTGTTGTACAAGACTAAGTGATTACAACCCATGTGCAGTTCTAAGCGCTGAGCCACGAGCAGACAGCATGGGAGAGATGCCTCCAGTACTAGTTGCTTATCCCATGCATATATAACAGCTCATGTCTCTCTGTGTGCAGAAGAAGGTACAAAAATGTGGGTTTTCAGCTCCTGCCAGACAGATAAATAAATATGCTGGACTGGAAAGAAGCATGTTGTGGGTCAGGACTTGACTCAGAGATCAGCATTTAGATATCGGCCATAGGACTCACTGAGCTGATTCCTGCTTGTAATGAAAAACACTTTAAAGGACATGTGAACTTAATTGAGATATTTCCAGATGACTTCACCGCAGATTTTGGTAAACAATTAAAGTGTTTAACTACCACAGAGTGTATGTGTCCTCAGTGCTGGGTCTGGTTATGCATTTTCATCCAGGCTGAAGTACCTATTCTGACCTATTTTCCTCCTACAGTTTGCTTCAGACTGTGACCAAAGGCATCCTTCCATCTTCTCCTGGTTGAGCTAAACAGACAGAGCTCTTGCATTCCCTCTCTCTCTAAGGTATGTTTACTTGTCCTTTTGTATCTGTCATGACTGTTCTCTGACTCCTCTCCAAATTGTAAACATTTTCCTCAGGCTGCAGAGAAAACAGTAACACAGTGTTGCAGTGACAGTCAGATTCATGCCAAATGAAGAGGAAATATAATTTTCCAACTCTTAAGATCACTGTTTGCAGCCCAAGGATCACATCAGTAACAGGGCCCACTGCCACACACTAGGCACTTGTACTGAGCTGAGCTATTTCTTCACAATTTACTGACTCCCTTTGCATAGAGAGGCTAATTCAAGTGACATTACACATGACTGTCTGAAAAAGACGTTTTGCTTATGTTGAGCAGCACGTCCCTTCCTCCTCGACTCACCTGTCCCACAGTTTTTGTCATCTGCAAACCTGATCAGAAATGGTAGAAGCATGAAGTGGTTCTAGATACACTCTCAGTGAAACAAAATAACTGTGCCCAACACCCATGTTTGCAATGACTGGTTATTGAGTTTTCTATGAGCTAGGTGTGCCATGTTACTTTTTGTCATCCCAGCTGTTGTACAGAAACCGACTAAACACTTCTAAAAGCAAAGCACCATTATATTCATCATCCAGCTTTACTGAAAAATCCCATTGGTTGGCTGGACAGGATCTGTTTTCTGTTTGTGCATGTGAATTGCCTTTAACCTTATTAGTACTATATTAGCACTTTAAAGGAACCATAGCAGTGAACTATATTAGCACTTCTCTTATTGTTTTATTTTTATTTTTATTTTTTACCAAATTACAGAATTGTCTAAGTTAGAAGAGACCTCCAAGATCACTGAGTCCAACCTCTGACCTAACACTAACCAGTCCTCCACTACACCATATCACTAAGCTCAACATCTAAATGACTTTTAAAGACCTCCAGGGATGGTGACTCAACCACTTCCCTGGGCAGCCCATTCTAATGCCTAACAACCCTTTTGGTAAAGAAATTTCTCCTAAAATCTAACCTAAACTTCCCCAGCACAACTTTAGCCCATTCCACCTCATCCTGTCACCAGGCACATGGTAGAATAGACCAACCCCCACCTCGCTAGAGCCTCCTTTAAGGTATCTGTAGAGAGCGATAAGGTCGCCCCTGAGCCTCCTCTTCTCCAGGCTGAACAAGCCCAGCTCCCTCAGCCGCTCCTCGTAGGACTTGTTCTCCAGACCCCTCACCAGCTTCGTCGCCCTTCTCTGGACTCACTCAAGCACCTCCATGTCCTTCTTGTAGTGAGGGGCCCAAAACTGAACACAGTACTCGAGGTGCGGCCTCACCAGAGCCGAGTACAAGGGGAAAATCACCTCCCTAGCCCTGCTGGCCACACTGCTTCTTATACAAGCCAGGATGCTGTTGGCCTTCTTGGCCACCTGAGCCCACTGCTGGCTCATATTCAGCTGACTATCAACCAATATTTCCAGGTCCTTCTCTGCCAGGCAGTTTTCCAATGAAGTTCAACAAGGCCAAGTGCCGGGTCCTGCACTTGGATTGCAACAACCCCAAGCAGAGCTACGGGCTGGGAGATGACATTGACATATTCTGCGTTATATACTGTACATGCCTACAAATTGAAATTTTATATATATATATATATATTTTTTTTAACAATACTATTGAACTGACATCACATAAAATTTTGTATGAATAAATTTCAAAAAATCATACTATTCTCTGTTTTTCTGCCATCTCAAAAATTCTCCTTTATTATTAATATTTATTACTAGCAATTTCTCCTTTCTTCCAGTAAATAAATGGATATTTCTAATACTCTCTTTAAGCAAGCTTTGTTTGAGTGAGTTAGGTTTTCCTTTTTTTTCGCTTGGGAAATGTGGCTTTTAGTATACTTCATACAATGTTTACAAACATTTGGAATTAATCATTCACATTAATCATTCACTACAACTGTTTTTACAAATGTTTGAAAATTACTTAGCTTCATATTTCTGGCTTCATAAAAATGCACCTTTACACAATTGGGCAATATAAGGAACAGGCACCATGAGTCTATAGGGATTGAGATTGGTTTACTGAAGACCTCAAGATGAAGAGAATTTGGAGGGAGTCATGCAGACAAATAGAAGTATCTTATGTTCAATGTGACAAAACCAACCAACCAAAACAAACAAACAGTGGAGCCAGTGCAGCTCTGCAAGAGGTGTGCATATTTGAAATGGTGTGTCGAGAAAGCAATTTTTACAGTCTAATTAGCTATTAGTTGATTCAAACTAGCTTCAGTGACAGAAGCTGATGGCCTCTTCAGAGCTAAAAATGAGCTTTGGGAAAAATTCTCCCAAACAACTTCCAACCTATCACAAACACTGACTCTGTCATTACATCACCACACCATTAGTGTAGGAGTCTGTAGAGAAGATGATAAGGTTATCTCATCACCTTTTGTGGTGAATAAACTGTAGGATACACACACTATAAGGGATTAAAACTTCTTTGTGCTGTAAACTTTGCTTGATGACTGATGCCTCCTCATAGATGTTCCCAGAAGCCATATGCTGAACCTGCTTTGGCAGGGGTGTTGGACCAGATGATCTCTCAAGGTCCCTTCCAACCCCTACAATTATGAGATTTTTATTTATTTATTTATTTGTTTGTTTGTTTATTTATTTATTTATTTTAAAAAAGCTCTCAGAACAGCAATTTTTGATCACAGCATTTGTTTGGATTTACAGATATACTACCATTTTCATTTTACCGTTCTCTGGTTTACTCAGTCAGTTACTCAGTTAGTTGCTAAGCTTTATTAGTAAGTACATCACAATGTGTAGAGCAACAGGGGAATAAACAGCCCAAGAATCCAAATGTAGAAGAATGTCTTTGCAACACAATATATATGATAACAGATCTTTTTAAATGATATATTTTGCATTTTAGACATGAAGAAAAAGGGTTGGCTCAAGATCAAGGTAATCAAGGCACTGCATAAGCAGAATGGATGAAGAGTTTCCCAAACTGGAGTAAGAATTGATCAGTATGGGCAATTCAGCAGTTTTCTAATTGTTAGACTAACATTGTAAGAGCATTTTATATGCAGCCAAAATGGGTTCATTGATTTCAATTGAATGTATACTCTTTCACTTAGCTGGGGATCTGAACCATTGTCCCTGCAAATGGAAGTATTCATGAGCATAACAATGACATTATTCATCAATGATATGTTTTATAGCTCTTCTTGTGCTGTTTATTTGACTTTGCTTAGTTCAATTTTAATCATTTAACTTGTGGTTTTCATAGTGGAATTATGTCTATAGGAAAATAATTTTTTTCTAGGTTATATAACTGTTCTGCAAACTGCTTAACATCAAAAGAAGAAAGAGGTTTTTTTTTTCCTTTGTGCTACTCAAAGTTCAGAAATGAAATTATTTCTATTGCTTGTTACTGTTTTCAATGTTTATTTAGTCTAACATCTGCAGCTGGGCAAATGTTTGGTTTTTTTTCCTGTGTTTTTTGTGAAGAGAGGAGAAACACATTTTCCTTTTTATTTTATTTTAATTTTATTTTTGTTATGAGGGAAAGCAGCAAAATTGTCAGTGCTTTTCAGATGTACACAAAGGAAGCACCTCTTATGTGCATATATATGCATATATTTGCATATACCTGTGTACTTACATATGCATACACATGAGTATGTATACATCATATTTATCACCATATTTATGTATATGCATTTATGTATATAGCAGAGAATCACAGAAGGATTGAAGTGGGAAGGGACCTCTGGAGGCCATCTGTTTCAACCTCCTGCTCAAGCAGGGCCACCCAGAGCAGGTTGCCCAGGATCGTGCCCAAGCAGCTTCTGAAGATCTCCAAGGAGGAGACTCCACAACCTCTCCGGGCACTTGCAGAGTGATTACATATATATTATATATGCATACATTAATATATGTGTGTGTGTGAATGTGAATATATAACATACATGTATTCAGTAAATATATAAATGTACATATGTAAACACATAATCCTTATTAATGTGTCAAAATTTTCCATGACAACAAGCAAAGTAACAAGTAGGTTCTTCTTCATATACATGCTTTGGGATCTATAGTTGGCACCGTGGATTCCATATCCATGTGCAAACACTGTATCATATTAAAAGCAGTGATAAATAACCATAAGTGAAACCTGTGATAAAAATATTTTGTTCATTGGATTTAAGGTTGTTATACTTTTTAGGACCAGAGGAAGTCATAATTTTCATCTCAGTGGCCCCTGCCCTATGGACTTTAAATATGATCTTTCTACAAGATAGGAGAACATAGCAGAGAAATATTCAGAATCCAACTGGGCACAGTTTTGGACAACTTGCTGCAGCTGACTCTGCTTGAGCTTTGGGCTAGATGATTTACAGCAGCACCTCCCAAATGCAGCTATCTTGTGGTTCTATGAAGCATCACTTTTTTTTTGCCTGAGTAGAAAAAAAAAACATAAACGTTAGCCAGGTTTTAGGGTATTTCTATCAGTGTTGGGCTCCAGAAAGCCACCAGGAGGGATGAGACAGAATAGAACTCTGAGTGGATGAAGGTCTAGAAAAGAGTCAGAGAATAAGAAAAAAAAAAAAAAAAGAAAAAAAAAGAAAGAAAAAAAAAAAAAGAAAAAAAAGTATATTACCTTTTTTTTTAATATATATATATTTGAATCTAACATAGATTCCAATTACTAAGCATGAAAAGAGCAGACAAGGAAAAAATACAACATGAAAAACTTGAGGTATTCTTGAAATATAACAACAACAACAACAACAAAAAGCTAGGAAATATAACTCCTAGCTGTTTGCAGGAGTTTTGAGCCTTATAATCTTGATTTATCCTCCAAGATACACTTTTCCAAACAGCTGAAGATCCTTGACCTCTTTCCAAGGACTAGACTTGATGATAAAATTATTACTTGGTTTTGTTTTGTTCAGGCAGTATAGCAAACAGAAAAAAAATGTGCAACAGCACTATGCCATCCCCAAATCAAAATGGGCAACACAGCAGAGCCAATTTTTTCAGTGCCTAAGATCTGCAGAGTTCTAAACATACTTTATTTTATACCCAAAGCACTGCTGACTGTTTGCATCGTGCCAGAGATTGCTGATGTATCTGAGCCACACACTCACAACAGTCCATCTCCTTATTATGCATGGGACTGGTGTGTCCTTGCTTTAAATTTGGACAGCTAAGCTAGGGATATTTAATTTAATTTACTAGTATTGTCATTACTCGGCCATAGGACCTATAGGCTATAGTTGTATTAATTGTCACATGCACTTTTTACTGACATTTAGGCCCAGGCTTACATTGTACAGCTTGAACTTATATTCATGGTTGCTCCCATTAACTTCACAGTGGTGCAGGGCTAGATGCCAATGAGACAGGCGAATGAAGAGCACAGGGGGATGAAGGTCCTAAGAAACTTTAAAAATGGGCTGAAGATTCTGCAAGAGCACCTTTGAGCTCCATCGACTTTATTCAAGGGTTGGTGGAATAGAAGTACAAGCAATCAATCCCAAGGACACTGAAGATCATCTTTTGGCAATGAGATTTGGTTCACACTGTAAAAGAAATCAGAGGGGAGCACACTGAAGAATGAGGAGACAAGGAGCCTATTTGCTGAGACATGCAAATGTAGGAAAGAAGCTCTCACAGCTGTTCAGTAGCTGTTCAGAGTCGTTCAGAGTGCAGATCAGGCTGGAAAAACGAAGATCATAGGACAACAAACAGGATTCCCCTCTCAGCTTGATGCAGGTGCATTACTCCCTTAATTGCTCATGAAAAGAAAGAGCCCCTGCACTGACTGGGCCTTGGGGTGTGGTGGTTTTACCTTGCTGGGCAGCTGAACTCCACTACAACCGCTCTCTCACTCCCCCTCCTTAGAAGAAGAGGGGAAGAAGAAAGTATTCTGGAAAGGAAAAAGAACAACTCATGGGTTGAGATAAATAAATATAATTAAAGGGAAAAGGAAGAGGGGAAAAGAAAAAGGGAAAGGGAAAGGGAAAGGGAAAGGGAAAGGGAAAGGGAAAGGGAAAGGGAAAGGGAAAGGGAAAGGGAAAGGAAAAGGAAAAGGAAAAGGAAAAGGAAAAGGAAAAGGAAAAGGAAAAGGAAAAGGAAAAGGAAAAGGAAAAGGAAAAGGAAAAGGAAAAGGCCATGCAGAAACACAAAGAGAGAAGAAAGAATTTACTCTCAATGTCCCATCAATGAGCGATGTTTGGCCACGTCCCTGAAGCAGGGCCTCAATACACGTGGGGGTTGTTCAGGACAGATTTTTTCATAACAAGAGCCCACATGTGTGACACCACATGGTATAGAATACCCCTTTGGTCAGTTTAGGTCAGCTGCCCTGGTGATGTCCCCTCCCCACCTCTTTCCCACCCCCAGGCTGCTGGCTCTTGAGCAGGGTTGGAGGGAGTCTTGGTACTGTGCCAGCATTGCCCAGCAGCAGACACAACACTGGTGTGATACCACTGCTGTTCTAGCTCCAAGTGCAGAGCACAGCACTGTATGGGCTGCTGCAGGGAGAGTTAACTCCATCCCAGCCAGACCCAGTACACAGGGTAACAGTAAAATTTCTGAAATGAAAGCTGTAATAATTTTAATGACCTACAGGGATGGACCTGAAGGAGGTGCTGATGGCAGCAGGGAGCCCTGCAAGGAGGAAGGGCTGGTTCAAGCCCACCACCCACCAGAGCCAACAGCATTGTCTGCAACGGTGTGAGAGGAGGGCTGTGGGGAAAAAAGTGCCAATTATCCATCAGCGATTACAAAACCTTTTAACTGGCTTTGGATCCTGGGCCGATATCTAGGTTTCATATTGTTTGATGGTTTCATATTGTGCATGGCTTCCCTATGGTCCCTATAGATAAATGGGATTACCATACAGTCCTAAAGTTTGAACTTATCTCTTCAGTATTCATTTACATACTTTGGATTGATTACGGGCCTGACATATTTTTGAATAGGACTGCTCTTGCATTAATTTAAGGTAGTAATTCTGATAGTGCTTATAAAGCTTGTTATTTTATATGGTTGTCATCAACTCATTCATTAGGTTTTTATGTATTCTTTTACGGTTTTAACTTACAAAATGAGCACTGAAATGCAGTGGTATTAATATAAAACTATCACATGCACCCACTGTTTCTCTATTCCAAAATATGAGAAGAGGTTATATGGTGTAATTAATGGCAGTTAAATGAAGAACAAATTCAAGGAAATATTATTTCATGCAAACTATGAGATTTACAGCCCCAAGAGACTTTTTGAGTGAAATAGTGAGTTGAGTGATTGGATTTTTAAAAGATCTAGATAATTATGTGACCATTAGCATTTATAATTATGCAAAGATAATTAAGTATAATGAAACCTCATGCTTCTTGGTATAAACGGATTACTTATAGAAGTCAGGAAGGAATGTGTTTTAGGAAACAGCACTTCCCAAGTGGCCAGGTGTATTTTGGCTTTTTTGTGCAGAATCTTTTTTTTTTTTTTTTTTTTTACTTTTCCAATCAGACAACAAACACATCTGTAAGCAGAATGACACATTGAGTGTGGTAGCCATCTATTTTGCTCTACAATATGCTATCTCCTTACCAGTTGAAGATAACAAAGTTTCACTGTCTATTTGTGAAACTCTCCATAAGTGTTCAAAATTGACTATTCAAAATTGGCACAGAGGAAATTCTATTTGGAGATATGTCAGTAACCTTATCTGCTATATCACCTTCTTGTTGCTCTTTCACTACCATGATTTTCAATGATGGACACTGTAGTCTCAGAAGCCAGATATGTTTTTCAAAGGAAATGTCATCAGTCTAATAGAAGGTAGGTTTTTTGGCAGAAGACAAAAAGTTGTTGTATGAATATTTTTAACCTAGACAAGATTTAAAAGGTGGGTTTTATTTTGTTTTGTTTTGTTTTCTAAAAATAATTGTTAATCAGATATATGTCACTGTTGTTTACAGAGTCAGGCATCTGTTTCAATGTATTGTGAAGTCTGGTTCTTATTTATTCATTCATTTTAAATAAGACGGTTACAACAATTTGGTGGTGAGTATCTCTGCTTACAAGCTGGATGCCCGATTTATATAACCCTCCATCCTGCATAGATGTTTACGGTAGTGCAATGTGAATGTGGTTTGATTGAAATATCAGTCTATTCTGCCTGTGTTTAGCATTTGGTTTCACATCATGAGGTCACAAGGAATAAATTTGGTGTAGCCAAGATATTTCTTGCCCATTTTGTCCATTAGGTAATAAGCAATGCTATTTTGCACAAGTTGAGGTACACATCCATAGCTATCTCTTGTTCTGAAAGAGTCTGTATTTAAACTATTGAAGAGAAGATTAAAAATTAGCTGGAAGTCAATAGACAAAGCATATACTGCTGTTTCAAACAGAGACTATCTTTGTTACCGAGTTATGCAATACTTTAGGATGTTGCTTTTCCTAACTTTAAAATAATGATAGCAGCATTCATTTCAATTGCTCTGGAACTGCAAAGATTTATAATGTTCCTTGAGACCTGGCTGTCAAATGCTTAAAAGGTAAAGTTTGGTCTTTCACAACTGTGGACACTTGTAGAAATGGTTAAAAACAAAGCAAAACAAAACAAAACAAAACAAAACAAAACAAAAATCATACTAACAATATAACTCAAATCTCAAATAAACTTTGCTGCAAAATTTGTCTTACTCCGTATAAAAATGTTGGGAAACAGTAGAAATGCTGAAGTGTTTATTTCTCTGTTTATTTCATTTTATGACAAGGTTGCTCACTTAGTTGAACAAGGGAAGCCAGTTGATGTAATCTTTTTGGATTTCAGAAAATCTTTCAATATTGTTTCTTACAGTATCATTCTGGACAAAATGTCCAGCATTCAGCTAGATAAATACATAATACAATGGGTGAACAATTGGCTGATGGGCCAGGTTCAAAGGGTTCTAGTAAATGGGTTTACATCAGACTGGCATCCAGTCACTAGAGGGATTCTGTAGGCCACCATTTTAGGGCCAGTTCTTTTTAATATTTTCGTAAATGACTTGGATGCAGGACTTGAAAGTGTACTAAGTAAGTTTGCAGATGACACTAATCTGGGAGGATCTGCTGACCCCATTGAGGGTAGAGAGGCCTTGCAGCCTTTTGACAAATCGTGACAAATTAGAGAGCTGGGTAATCATCAACTGCATGAAGTTCAACAAGAGCAAGTGCTGGATTCTGCACCTGGGACAGGACAACCCCAGCTATACATACAGACTGGGAGACAAGAGGCTGGAGAACAGCCCTGTGGAAAGGGATCTGGGGGGTCTGGTCAATGGTGAGTTGAATAAATTCAAGCCAGCAGTGTGCCCTGGCAACCAAAAGGGCCATCTGTACTCTGGGGTGTATTAGGCATGGCATTGCTAGCCAGTCAAGGGAACAGATTGTCCCGCTCTGCTCTGCACTGGTGCAGCCTCATCCTGAGTAGCATGTGCAGTTTTGGGCACCACAGTGTAAGAAGAACATAAAATTATTTAGAGAGCATCCAAAAGAGGGCTTTGGAGATGGTGAAGTGTCTAGAGGGCAAGATGTGAGGAGTGGCTGAGGTCCCTTGGTTTGCTCATCCCAGAGCAGAGCAGGCTGAGGGGAGGCCTCATGGCAGCCTGCAGCTTCCTCATGAGGGGAGCGGAGGGGCAGGCGCTGAGCTCTGCTCTCTGGGGACAGCGACAGGACCCAAGGGAATGGCATGAGCTGGGACAGGGGAGGGTCAGGCTGGGGGTTAGGGAAAGGTTCTGCACCCAGAGGGTGGTCGGGCACTGGGACAGGCTGCCCAGGGCAGGGGTCACAGCACTGAGCTGCTGGAGTTCAAGAAGTGTTTGGACAACGCTCTCAGACACATGGTGTGATTTTGGGGTGGTTCTGCAGAGTTGGACCTGATGATCCTTGTGGGTTCCTTTCAACTTGGGGTATTCTATGATTTCGTGATTCTTTCCCAGAAGTGGCTGAAAACCTGAGTGCCACTGGTAAGCAGCAAATTAATTCCTTGTTTTGCTTTTCTTGTGAACGCAGCTTTTGCTTTACTTCACAAACTGCCTTTATCTCAACTCATAAATTCTCACACTTTTACCTTCTGATTCTCTCCCCCATCCCACCTGAGGAAAGTAAGCCAGCGGCTGTGTGGTAATTAGCTGCCTGGCGGGTTAAAACACAACATAGGAAAAATGAAGATTGTAAGTAGAAAATAAAAGTGTTTTGTTAACTGCAATCTTTTGGACACCAGTGTAGGATCTACCTTCAGGAAGGAAGAGAGGTAATATTAGCATCTTCTGTCAGAATGAAACAAGCATCCTTTTTTTGGGACATGAAAAAAAAGAAGAAAACCTCACAACCTTCATTCAAAGAGGTAACACATTCCTTCTGTATTTTAGTTTAGAAGTATGCCCTGAGATGTGATATAGTGTAGATGGTTCTAATTGTTGTTTTTTTTTTTCTTCTTTATCATACAAGCTGAATGCAAGTGCTGTCTGCACCTACAGCCAAGTACAAGAAGCTATAGAATTATAAATATTTATTCAACAATAATTAGAATAAATAAACCTTTCCTATATGAAATCAAAAATTGAAGTTATGGTGAAGTTAAGATGTGTAAGCAGGTAAGGTTTTGGAAATGATCTAAATTCTATAGGAAATAAAATACTGACAGTTCTCAAGATGTATGTACCTGTACTGCAAATGCTCTGTCTCTACCAGCCTTCCATATATTCTGGTAACAGTTTCTGCCAATGAACCAAATATCTCCATCCATTGCAATGGAAGACACACCATGCAGAAAGGGAGGTCAGATTCTTTGCTGAATGTTCTGTATAGCACATCATTATAAAATTCACTAGTTGAAGTTTCTGCGTAGTTTTCTTTTAATCAGAGACTGACATGGAACACATTGTTATACATTGCATATACATGTATATATATGTATGAGCATAACACACAGTTCTAAGAGACAAAAGGAAAAATTACATTATGATGTCAAAAGTCCCTGATATGGACATTCACAGTAGTTTATTCCATGAATTGGATCTAAGGTACCAGTAACTGAACAGACTACCCATTTCCCTTGCACCAACAGTAGAAAACCATGGCTCAGATTTCACTTTCCACATGCTCTTCAGGAGTTGCTGGTATCCAGTGAACAACCTGCAGCTCTGTTAGAGTCTCAAGCAAGTGATCCCTTGCCCAGACTGCAGCCTGAGGAGAGGTTCACTGAAATCAAATTGCTGTCATATGCATAATGATGGCATCAACTTTTGAGGGTCTTGTTTAGGCTCTGAGAACATTCCTGTCTTTATTTGCCTGCCTACCCATCTGTCACACATACACAATTCATATTGCTGTCGTACCTGTATCTTGGTATCCTGAGAAAACACTTAGCTGTAATGTCTAAGTACTATTGAAGAAAAAAGAATGTGCAGCCATTTCAGTAGGTTTCAATAGATCAATGGTGCAGCCGATGGATGAGAACTGGTTGAGATGAACTACCCTTATTCCTAAGGAAAAAAAAATAATAATCTGTTATTCTGCAGCCATAAATCAGTGCTTTCTGGTCCCCCTAACTTCCCTTGGAAGTTTCATAAATGTAGCATATAACTGAAGTATCAGCATGCGGGATCTTTCAAGACTCATTTCTTGTTAAGCTGCCTCAGCTTCAGCCTGCCAACCAAGTCAGCCCAGCTTGGGTTATATTTCAGTCACTTTTCCAAAATCCACTGCTGCTGAGTCCTGGATTATCCCTGTCTAAAAATTCAGCCTCCTGTGTCTGAAGGTGAAATTTCGTTTAGCAGTGGGAAAGTGTTAACACAACTGCATTGTGGAGATTAAAGTTACAGCAGAGCATCAAAAGAACCAGAAATATCCAGCACATTCAAGATATCTATTTTTGATGAAATCCTCAAGAAAGTAATAAAAAAATATAGTTTTACAGTAGGTCAGTTATTAATTTTTCTTGGAACAACAACAAGACTTTGGCAAGAAACAACATGTCTGCAATATATATAATTTTTTACTTTTGATTTAATAAGAAGTTACATATACAATTAACTTTCTCTGTTCAAACTGAGTATTTATTGTTTCACCTGTTTTGAACTAGAAACTTTGGCCTCATTAATAAGTGGTTAGAAACTGTGTCTAGTTTCATCACAGTTCCCGTAAGTATCTCTGTGTAGGTGCTGAAAAATGGGTGTGTGATAACCTAGCAGCAGTGTTCATCATGATTCACAACTCATGCCCCTTCCATGTCAAGAGCTTTATAAGCACCTGTACAAATACTGGAGTGAGAAAGAGTAAAGGAGCTCTTGCTTTTCTGAACTCTGGTCTTTAGGGGACATAGTTGCCATGTTTACACCTGTGAGCAGTTGAGATGCTCCTGGTTGTACCTGCCATGGGAGTTAGAGCTGCAGAAGTTGGTAGGACTGGCCTCTTCCTGGCCAGCTCCTCCAAGAGAATGGCAACCATGCCAAAAAACTGTTGTGCCCACCTTGCATGTCTAAAATCTGCTGGCTCTTGTGGTGTGACAGCACGGCAATGTGGGCAACCCCACAGAGCAAGAGCTCATTTCAGACAGGAGTATAGCTGTCATATCTCATGAAGTGTGATCTCTCTTGTTCTGCTAACATGTCCTGCACTACATTCAACTACATCTGTGTCTGCTCAGCCTTCTGCCAATACTTAGTTCTCATAAAGCATGCTTATACTTTTACCATGCTAACAACGTAAGCATTTTTAGTATATATTAATGCTCCCGATGAGCTAGTGGTTATGAAGCCCCACTTTACCAATGGTGATTCTGTAAGCATTTCTGAGGGAGTCTGAAAATCTTTTAAAGAGCCACTGGCTCCATCACCTTTCTAATCATTTGAAGTAATACCATTTAAAGCCTAATTGTTGAAACCAAAAACATCAGAAGAACATACTGTATGTAAATGGACATAGTGCTGCAAAAAGTAGAGAACAACTGATAGAAAAGATATGGTTTAATAGGGGATTGCCAGCTATGATGCTGTTATGCTAATCTTTAATCCGTACAGCTAAAGCAGAACAAGAAGTTTCTATCTACACACTACAGACTGCTTAGCTCACATTGGCTGCACTTAGGGTAGAACTTTGTGCTGTGAAATTGCCACCTCCCTGATTTAATCTGTCAGATCTACATGAGGTAGATTGGAGAGGCACAGATCATGAATCAACCACTAGACAACTGCCCAAACAAATGGCTGTGCAAAGAGAAGTGGACTTGCTCATCAAAGGTTTCAGACACGCATTTTGTTGATATCTAAACTTTATCAGTCTATGAACATGCACTCATTTGGTTTGAAAACTTTCTGATCTGAGTGCAAAGGTTTCACATTAATACTTCAGTTATTGTAAAAAATCAAAGCAGCAAAGTAAAAAAGAAGAAAAACAAACAAACAAACAAAAACGTTTCCCTGGCTTGCTCTCAGAGCTATCGTTGCTATTTCAGACACAGCAACAAAACAAACTAAGATGTGTTTAGAACCACTGCATTAAAATCTTCAGTATGTGCACTCAAGTATGGGTGGTAGTCATGCATGTGCATAATCATGTTAAAACTGCAAACCCATAAGCCTAAGCTCAGACTCAAATCACAGTTCTCTGAAATGACTCTGACAACACAGGGAAGAGCTTTTCCTGAGTAGCTTCTAGCTACTTCTAGCTTTTCTACATCATATCCTCATATACTGTGTTGGTGGATGAAGAAGAGAAATGTGATTAAGGTATTTCAAGCCTGACATGAATATTTTTCCAGTATAGAGGGTTTTGATAATGTAGACTTGTGAACTGAATTTGGAATTTGCTTTGCTTCTGTAATTGGGCTTCTAATGCCAGCAGAAGAATCAAGGCCTGAGAAGCAAACTAAAAATATATTTCAAGGGAATGCACACATCTGTGACACAGTAAAACTATTAGGCTACCGAATGCCTGTTTTGAATTATATCAAATTACCTGAAGACCATATGGCAAATGGAAATTTTTAAAGTTACCATTTACTGCCTTGTACAATATCATGAAAGATTTTTTGTTATTTTAGCTAAACCTATATATGTAAACTCATATGCTTTCAACATTTTGTAATCAATAACTGAAGGCCAAGTGCAACCTGCTACAAATGCATAATCTGCAGAACAGAGAGCCGCCTTCCAGTGGAGAAGCATGTCTGCATTCTTAAGAAGGGAGTGAATAAAGGAACAGTCCATAGACAGTGTCATTGATTCTTCTCAGATTCATCAGGGGAATCAGGAGTAAGAATCTTAAAATTAGAAGCTGAAATGTGGACTCAGTTGTCTAGCCTTAGGAACCAATATATGAAAGCATCGTCCTCTTTGTCCTTCCCTAAAAGGCCAGTGTTTTAACAAGGTGTACTTTCCCATGTACATCCCACGCCGTATGTGTGTTGCAGATGGAGAGAGCAGACAGCAGTCCTAAGAATGGCTTTCTCGCCATGTTGGCAGGTAATATTTGACAAAATGCCAGAAAAGATTTTGTACTTTTCTGTGTACATTTCCACATATACGGGCATCAATTAGCCAAATTACCACTCAAACCTAGTATAAATAGTGAGCTTTTGCCTTAGTCTTTACATTGCCAGAATGTGACTGGCTCTGTGCTGATACCAACACCATTTCCCAGATTTGCATTGTGGGACAAGTACCATGCCCTCTAGATTTCCAATTCTTAAGAAAACTGGGCCTCTTTAGATTAGTATGCCTATTGCAATAGAAACTAAATTGAAGTTTGCATCATATATGAAGGATAACATATGGATATATGTTTCTCAGTGCTGGGATGTTTTGGGTTTTTCCTGGCCAAGGGTTGTATTTTCCAGCTATCCTTGAAGTATTAGTGTATATTGTTTTTTGTTTCTTTTTATTTTGTTTGGTTTTGCTTTTGTTGTGTGTCTTGAGCTGTTTGTCTCAAGAACTTTTACTCTCAGTAACTGTACATGAATGTGTTGTTGTAGCGCACAGATCAGCACTAAATACACATTTAAGACAACAGGAATTGTGTGAGTGTAGCTAAGTAAAAGATACCTGGACTTAAACATCCTTGTAACTAATGTTTTCTAAAACAGCCACTGAAACTCCATTGGGAGTTTCAAAAACTCCCACTTGCAAGATGTTTTTCCTATTTTTCTGTCTTCTACAAGAGAGAAAAAGCACCAGTCTCTTAGAGCTACCACTTAGTTTATTATTCATATTCTACTTCAAAACAGAGAGAAAAGAGAATCTTCTCTAGATCAGAAAGGTTGCATTACACATTCTGTCCAATAAAAGATGGGACTTTATTATTGCCGTGTCATGGTTTGTTAGATGTAGTATAGCATATTAATGATTTGTACCTATCTAAAAATGGAAGACTTTTATTTTTTTTTCAGGACTTTATTGAAAAAAACTCCTTGATGAAAAACACTTGCCAGACTGATTTGTATTTGGATATTTTATTTTATTTTTTACATCCCTACATTAATGTGCTTATCTAAAGCACGCATTGGAAAGATAAAGACCTCTTTTATACTTGTACTGGCTACATTGCAAGAGATGGTATTTCAGTTCACAGGAACAAGTTACTCTGCAGCAAAACATTTATTATTTGATCCTGCTAGTGTAGCTGCTGGTGAATATGACTATTCTGCTAAATAACACCTGTTCAGGGACCATTATCTGGCCCTGAAGCAAAGTGTCCTGGCTTGGTCCTGTCTACACTACTACAACCACTTGTCCTTCAGATCTCCTTTAGGTACCCCTGAGGCTCTCAGATATGATAGTTGCTGCATGCATGTGTGCTCAAAATGTTCATAATAATAAAAAGTACATTCCAGCTTACCAAAACAGTGTTTTTGCAGCTTGAAATAAAAACTATGATTGTATGCCGTGGGTTTGATATGCTGACATGCTTGAGGGTACAAAGGTTTCTAGTACAGTTTTGGAGAGCTGCAAAGGGTGGAGGGAGCCAAGCCTTGTCATTCTTATTCATACTGCCTTTTTGGGAATGGTTGTTAATGCCTCCAAACCTCAAATCTGAATCCAACACTTGTGGCAGAGCATACTAGTTGGCACAGGACAAAATCATGCCATCAGGCTGCTTACTAATTGAGCAGCATGGATGACCAGAGTATGAGTTTGCTCTACGACTCCTGCTATTTAGCAGTGTAGATGCATGCTGAACACTTCCATGGCTTCCAGTGGTTAAAGAGAGCAAGATTCAGGTGTATATTTATATAAGTATGTATACCCTGTTTGGTTTTCTATCTGACACCATGAACTTTGATTTAACTACTCCTAATTTCCACTGCTGATTGAATAGTCAAAGCTCCCATTTTGTCATGTTTAGCCCAGATAACTGAAAAAACACCTCTTTTTTTTTTTTTTGCGTTGAGTTAAGGAGTTGTGTGTGGTATCATAGACATGTCCAGTCTGTGATCCATGGCCTGGCAGGTCAGTTTTTCTTACCTGTGTAATAGTTCCAGAAATATACTTGTTACAGAACCACCACACCTATTTGCCTTGGCCAGACCCAATGGCCTCTCCTGTGAGGCTGAAGAGGACGGGGCTCCCTTGGCAGACAGAGAAAACATCAAGTCAGAGAGGATTGGCATCGCTGAGGTACTGCAGTAAACACACACAACACTATTTGTACTTCTTTGGAAAAGACTAAGTCTTTCCCAAATTGCATACACTATTCAGGACTGGAATTAAGAGACTAAAAGAAAAATGAACAGTTAGCAAATGGGAAAAAAGTCATCACTACTGTTACCACACTTAATTTCCGTAGAAAGACAGCTAAATTAAGTCTGACTTCTTGAGCAGCTCTTCATGCATGCAGCTCTTAATTTGGGATGAAGGAATGCACTTTGTGTGAACTCCATAGCCTTCTTTATTATAATTATTACTTTTTTTTTTTCCTTTTTTTTTTTTTTACATTTCTATTAATTTTTCTCCTGAATTCACAACACGCTTCTGTTTCTTTCATGGAACAATGTGAGCACTTTCCAGTGGCCAAAAATAATATGTCTAAATTCCAGTGGATTTCAACGAAAGACTACACAGACCCATGGATAAAGTGTCTGCCTTATATTTCAAAGCACAGTGTTCAAGTTTTGTAGATGCTTGTAGGTTTTGTTGGCTTTTTTTTTTTTTTTTTTTTTAAACACGCCTGATTCTCAGTTTATGTAAATCAGCAGAATTCCACTGATGCTAAGGGACCTATGCCAAGTTAGTATCTGGCTTCACAGCTTTTTTTTCTCTTTGTACCGTACTTAGTCTCCAGTACTTACCCACTAATAACTTGAAGTCTAAGACTAAGCACTTTTTTTCTTTTATTGTAAGTAAAACTATAATTCAAGAATTTGTCAAAATGAGTAGGCTCTATGAGGGGAAGGTTGTGGGCATAAAGGAATATTAAAGCTGGACTTTCCCCATTTGGACTTCTACTGAAGTCAGTGGAAATGTTGACAGAGTAGAGAGTGAACAAAAGCATATGGACATATTCACTTTGGTCTCTGTAAAGAAGAATTCTGCTCGCAATGAAGTGTTAGGCTAAACATCTGCCAGATGCATAAATCTTAGCATATTTGAGTGCACATAATTATGGGAGCAAGAACCTAAGCCAGCAGAAATGTATCATCTATCCTGTTCAGTGGCTAACGGCTGATGAGGGCCGACAAGTAGTGGAGTGGACATGAGGGGTCTCCCTAGGAGTCTTCAGGAGTGTTTCTAGTTGAGCTGCCATCATCTCAGCATTTTATTCATTTATGCATTTCATCTCTACTCAGGTAGAAATGTAATGCAGATTTGTTTGAGTAAGGATCACGAGGTTCCATGAAGACACAGAGGAGCAGGAAGGGCAGGGGTGCCCATGCCATCTGGGCAGCATATCCACTGAGTCTCTTTGTGTCCATCCTCCTGGAAGTCCCTCCAATAGCCCTCTCAGTGAATGTTAGGTTTTTGATTCAAATGGTAATGGATTTATTGATTTTGTAATTGTTTTGAAAACCCTTTAGAAACATAGAAATAAAGAAATGAATAAATTTATGCTGTACAATCAAGCAGTTTTAGAAAGTGATCACTGTACAGAAATATAAAGGAGCGGGTGGTTTCTGAGTTGCCATGAGAAGTTATTCATTCTGGGTACAACCATAATCAAAACTCGACATGTAATTAAAATGGTGATCATTTTTTACCGTGGCTGTAAAAAATTAGGTTTTGTGTTATGTGATTCCAGCACGCTTACGGGAAGCATGAGATAAAGATGTGTAACAGTGGAAAACCTATATGACAATGTGTGGTATTGAAAAGCGGATTTCTTGAGTTCTCCTCATTTCTCTCCTTTGTTTCTCTGTCAGGGGGGTTGTGAGTTTGAATTTAGTCTTAGCATTCTAGTCTTATATTTATCATATAAAACCTAGACCTGCATCTAAAAACTAGAACTGCATCTATTATTTTTGAAAAGATTATCATACATATTTCCATATTTCCAAATATATTTCCAAACACAGTTTGACTGGTACTATATCGAACAGTGTCATTTTTCACATGGTTTATATTAGCTTAGCTCACATTTATCCAACTTCATGAAGAGATTCAGTTTGTTGTAGCTGGATTAAATTTAGTGAGTGCATAATCAGATAGCCATGAAACAAGGTATTTTAAGCCAAGAAATCCAAATTTGTGCTCATTTACCTCCTGTGGAAATCTAGGTGCTTTCATGAATAGCAGAGAGAGCAGAAATTGGCTTTGCATATTGTGGAAATCACTGCACTGCTTTGGCCAATCCCTTTCTTCTAACTTAACATGGTTAAAGACGCATGAGATTACAAATTCAACCAAAATTCTGGCAATGGATTCACTGGCTGGCACCTCACAAATTACCACTTAACAGAAGTCATGGTAAAGTTCACAACCCCCCAGAAAGCACCATGCTTCTTGATCGTTGCAGAATCACTGGGAAAAGGAAAGCGAGAGGATATGACAAAGTGAAGTCCCTCAGAGCCCTCTCTCTGCAGCAGTTCAACAGTGACAACATGAAAACCCTGCAGATTGATGCTCAGTGCTCCAAAAGTGGCGGTGAAGTCATGGAGGTTTTTCTCCCTTTGGGATGAGTACCATCCAAGTCTCCCATATTGCAAGTAGACACAACAGGTAATAAAACAAGAATGGAAACAAGTACAAAATGCTGTAAGTCCAAAAATGATCAAAAGAAGAAAAAAATGGCCTTTAAATAAATACAATGACCACATTTCCTTCCCCTTCAGCTAGATGCATGTGACGTCATGGGACTTCCCAAATTCAGCTCTATGAAAGCCCCTCTGTGCAAGTGCTGCTCAGCCAGTCACTGCTGCTCTTTCAGAAGTGTTGTTGAAAAGGCAGAGGGAGAGTGGTTGCAATCAGCAGCATCATTTCTAGAGCTGCCTGGGAATTTTGTGCCACGGCTTGTTGTCTTTCATTAAGGCCTATTTATGGGAAAGGACTGAATGTAATCTCCATTTGAAAAAGAAAAAAACCCCCCTCCCCCTCTCCCCCCCACTATTTATTTTAACTTGCTGTAATATCCTGCTTTAGATTTCCAAAATAAAAGATTGCCTTTGGAGGTTGTAAAAAGTCTTTCAAAACCTTTGGAGGTTTTGAAATCTAAGTGACTTCCTGTTTAAGTAAAAAACATCCAGAGAGAGAGCATTATCATAACAAACTACTCTCTTTGATCCAGCCAAAGCATTTTTGATTCCAGGTCTCTTAAAAATTTTCCAAAAATGTATTTTTTCAACCTTTGTAGGAGAAGAAAATACTTTTAAAGCTCAAAATTTCTATCAATCAAATAAAAATGTTCCCTTGCTACTGCAGTCACATCCTGAAAAGTCCTGAAAAAGGCTCCATTTAGCTGAGATTTCTCTCAGATTTCTAAGTACAAATAAAGAGAATACAGCCATTGTGCTGGACAGTCCATGAGGAGCTGTCTTTACTGGGAGGCACAGCAGGCTGCAGTCCCATCTTTAGCCATCAATCACACCAGCAGCTCCCTGTAGGAGGACTGAGATCATCCATGCCAAGCTCTCCCCCCTTCACCTCTGCATTCACGCAGTTAACCCTGACATTTAGCCCTGAAATATTATCCATTTCCCTGTAGACACTGAGATATGTAAAGGGCCAGGACGTCCGTGTGCTCTGCCTAATGCAGGTGGCCATAAACAACCTGCTGGCAGTACACTGTGGTGGAAACTACTGCTCAAGGTCTGCAGATACGTCCATCAGATTTGATGCTGGAAGGCTTGGTTTGGTCTTCAGTGCATTATATTGGAAAAGTGACTTTTGTTCTGCTCAGAAATGCTATGTATTCCATTACTGTCTGATATTTGTAGTATGTCATGAACTTTAGCAAGACAGAAGGAACACAGTAAGCCAGATTTCACAACTGTTTCTTGGTTTTATGTTTGTTTATTTTTAATCTCTTTTATGTCTGAAATCTGTTCGGAACAAAACAAAGCACTTTCGTCAGGCCAAGCCTTAAAAAAATACACTGGCACAGAAATATTCTTATGCTGTTGGCGATTAATATGTATACCGTGTTCGTTTAGTGCCATCAAGTGACCAAAAATGTGAAACAGCACTTCTGTTTCGTGGTGGTTTTTTTTTTTTTTTTGTTTTGTTTGTTTTTTTTTTCTGATTCTTTTTTTTTGTTTTTATATGGAAAACTGACCTGTTCTCCTTTCAATATAGCTACTGGGAATAGCTTCACAAGGTGTTACTTCTAGGGCTTTTCTCATAAGAATCTAAAAGTTAGCTTCAAAATTCCTTCCATACATTGACAAATCAAGGCTTCCTCCGTTTTCTCAGTTTATAAGGTTTGAAGAACTTCTGGCTGAAATCTTTGCTGTATATAATTCAGTAGGAGGTCTCAGCTATTTTAAAAATCATGATAATTTTTTATCCCATGGTGATAATCTGAGGCTCTGATACTGGTTTTTTTTTAATTAAGAACATCATAAACTCAGTGTATAACTCCTTATTCTGAAATGCAGTAGCTAGCTCTGTCAGAAACAAGAACCCTAAGTGGATTGAAGTGGATACAGCAAGGAAAATGGTTGGGTTTTAGTATGTCCACTTATTATATGAATGACCATTGCATAAACAAGCATATGTAATGTAAATTTCCAAGAAAACATTTCTACAACTTATTTTTCCAGATTTTATTTATATAAATATACATGTAAATCAACTTCTTAGTGATCATTAATGTAGTTCCCAAACACAACCTTGTTCTGGAGCCGTTTTCTCTGAGGTGCAGGCACTGCCTCTTGAGGACACCACACTAAGTTTTCACCAGCAGACAAAACTCTCAGTCAGTCAGGTAAACATGAGGCTTACTGAGTGGACGAAGCACCATGGATGTGCCAAAACTACAAAACACGCTTGAGAGAGGTTGGGAGAGCTGAGGATCTGCAGACAGGACACTAAAAACAAGCATTTTAAAAATCCCAGGTAATGCCCTAGTGAGAAATAGGCTGAGAATACTGTTCTGCCAGAGCTTGGCTGTGGTCAAGAGCAGCACAGAGTGTGACTACAAACCATGCTTGTTACCTGATCAATAGTCCCCTGGCCAGAAATAACACCATAGATGATTCTGTAAAACACTTTCCTTGACAGTTCGCAGCACCTCTGCCTTTACAAATTCCTATATCATGTGCAGACAGTTAGCACTTGTGGTTATAGCTACCAGTGAAATACAAGGAAGAACAAACCTTTGTGATGGTGCCATTTCACAAGAGCCTGTGGTTTACAGTTGGATCTCTTTTGTGAAAAGCCTGCAAGAATTAAAAACTCAGCACATACTCCCTAGCTTTTACAGTGGTTTCATGTTTTCTGGGAATGTCCTGAGTGCACTGTATAATCAGTACTGAAATATTTACAAGCTATTTACATTCTAAATACATACTAAAATGTATAACTTCTTTTTTTTAACTTCTTCCTGCTTTGTTTCTCACTTTCCTATGAAGTTATAAAAAATATCATTCAAAAACTGCTTGCTTCTTCATTGTATTTGCTTCTTCTATTTGCTTCTATTAAACTAACAACTGTTTGCTTTTAATTCTCTATTAAAAAAAAAAAAAAAAAGTTGTGGAAAACAAAGCTTTAAAGTTACATATCTAGAGACCTGTGCAGACAACACCAATCTGAGTGGTGCAGTTAATACACCAGAAGGAAGGGATGCCAAACAAAAGGACCTGGACAGGCTGGAGAAGTGGGCCCATGTGAACCTAATGAGGTTCAACAAGGCCAAGTGCAAGGTGCTGCACCTGGGTCAGGGTAATCCCAGACATGAGCACAGACAGGGAGAACTCACTGACAGCAGCCCTGCAGAGAAGGACTTGGGGGTTCTGGTGGATGAAAAGCTCGACACGAGCCAGCAGTGTGTGCCTGCTGCCCAGAAGGCCAACTGCATCCAGGGCTGCATCACCAGAGGAGTGGCCAGAAGGGGAGGGAGGTGATTGTGCCCCTCTGCTCTGCCCTTGTGAGGCCCCACCTGGAGTGCTGCATCCAGGTCTGGGGCCCCCAGCACAAGAAGGATGTGGGGTTTTTAGAGCAGGTCCAGAGGAGGGCCACTGAGGTGATCAGAGGGCTGGAGCACCTCTCCTATGAAGAAAGGCTGAGAGAGCTGGGGATGTTCAGCCCAAAGAAAATGCTCCAGGGAGACCTCATTGCTGCCTTACAATACTTAAAAGGGGCTTATAAAAAAGAGGGAGAGAGACTTTTAACTCAGGCAGATAACAATAGGACACGGGGGAGCGGTTTTAAACTAAAAGAGGGTTGATTTAGATAAGATATAAGGAGGAAATCTTCACTGTGTGGGTGGTGAGGCACTTACACAAGTTGCCCGGAGAAGCTGTGGGTGCCCCATCCCTGGAGGTGTTCAAGACCAGGTTGGATGGGGTTTTGAGCAACCTGATGTAGTGGGTGGCATCCCTGCCCAAGTCAGGGAGGTTGGAACCAT